CCCACAGCCCGGATCCATGCTTCCCAAGCTGTGGTAAGGGAAGGTGATACGCTGGTGCTCACCTGTGCTGTAACAGGGAACCCCAGGTGAGCTCTGAGGCCTGAGACTCCTGGATACTGAAGAGGAGCAGATTGGGGATCTGAAAGGGGAGTGGGTGGACAGAGGGAGTTGGATCCCGGACTTCTGAGTCTTGAGGGAGGAGGTTGGCACTTGGACATCTAGATCTTTAGGAAGGAGGCTTCAGGAGTCCCCACTTCTGAATTTTGAGGTGGAAAGGACCAGGAAGGCAAGGATTCCTAAGACCATGGTCATGAGTGAAAACTGAGCTTGGGACTGTTGGTTTTCTACAATAGGAGATAAAAGAATAGTAGAGGGACTTTTGTTTGGAGAACTGCATGTCTAGATGCAGAATTGGGTGGTGGCACCTGAGTCTCTAACTCTGACTGTATTTTGCCTCCGCCCAGGCCAAACCAGATCCGCTGGAACCGTGGGAATGAGTCTTTGCCTGAGAGGGCCGAGGCTGTGGGGGAGACTCTTACGCTGCCTGGGCTGGTATCTGCGGATAACGGCACCTACACTTGCGAGGCTTCAAACAAGCATGGCCACGCGAGGGCGCTCTATGTGCTAGTGGTCTACGGTGGGTGAGGGCAGATTGCTGTGGACTAAGGGGCGGGGTCCGGGGCGAGGGCGGCCCCCTGACCTTCGTGGGCGGGGCCTCGGGAATGGGCCGACTGGATTGGATGATCCTATGGTAGTGGAGCTGTGGGGCGGGGTCTAAGCAAAAAATTATTCCGGAAAAACTGGCCAAATTCTTATAGTATCTGGGTTCAGATTCGTCTCTGCAGAGTCCTTTTGCGGGTAACTGTATAACACTTAGTTTCCTCATGGTAAAATGGAAATAAACAATAGCACCTACTTCTGGGCTGTTGTGAAGATTGTATGACCAAAGTACATAAAACGGGTTGACCCTTAGCACAAAGTTATGTTTATGACATGGGGTAGGAATTTTGAATATGCCCAGCATTTTTAATAGTTGGAGCATTTGAGAAGAGATGGGAGAGGTTGGACCTGAGGTTCCCCAGAGAGAAATGAGTAGAAAGGAGAGAGAGGTGGGCGGAGGCAGTTGGGGAAAGCGGGGTTGGGTATCAGAGGAAAGTGACACCTACACTGGGAGGCGTCAGATTGGCATGGCTGCTAGCGCTTTGTGTGCTGGTGGTCTATGGTGAGGGCAAAATGAGGTTAACCTGGGGAAGCAGGAGGCTTGAGAGAGACAGGGCAGGTAATAGCAAAATGGCTCCGGGGTCATTTTGTACTTCTTGAGTAAACGGATTATCTGAAAAGAATGGAACCATGAAAAGGGGCTACCGGGTGGCTGTGCTTTTTGAGGGGTGCAATGTGGTGTGGAGACAGATTTAGGAGATTGGCTATGATGGGGGTGGGGCTGGGCTGGGAGTGTCCTTGATATGCTGGTCCTTTGCCCTGTCCCTCTGGCAGACCCTGGTGCAGTGGTAGAGGCTCAGACGTCCGTGCCCTACGCAATTGTGGGCGGGATCCTGGCGCTACTGGTGTTTCTGATCATATGTGTGCTGGTGGGCATGGTCTGGTGCTCAGTACGGCAGAAGGGTGAGTTGTAGCTTTCGGAAGGGGCGGGGCCTTTAGTCGGAGTTCCAAAGAGGGAGGGAATAAAGCTGGCATCAGTGGGGAGGGGGAAGCTCAGAGTCAAGAATTAAAGACTTTGGTATGGTTAGGTCAGGATTCCAAGAGGGGTGGGTCTTTCAGCCCTGGGCTCAAAAAGGGTGACAGTGGAAGCTGAATTAAGTTTATGGGTTTGAATAAACAATTTATCTTCCTAATGCTGGATTCGTTGGGAGCAGGGAGATACCATTAAGAGAATGAATAAGGGTTGATCTTTCCAGTAAATTTTGATGGAGTCTTGCTAATATGCTTTTATCTATTTCTCTGTCCCTGTTTTGGCATTCCCTGGACTTGATTCCCTCTCCCTCTGTTTTGTTTCTTCCTCCATCTTTTCTTGCCTACCTTCCTCTTTATATTTCTGTCCAATGCCTGGGTTCACATATATGTTGCCTCTTCCTCATCCCTGGGGGTCTGTTACCCTTCAGGCTCTTATCTGACCCACGAGGCCAGTGGCTTGGATGAGCAAGGAGAAGCAAGAGAAGCCTTCCTCAATGGCAGTGATGGACACAAGAGAAAAGAAGAATTCTTCATCTGACCCCACATTCACCCCAGGTCTGGGCCTGGGCAGGGGTCCACCCCACTGCCAGCTGCAAAGACATTTACCAGAGTCTGGGATGGTGGGCATCTCCCCCCACCACTAACACCTCAGACGTTGGGCAGGGATGGGGGTATCCGATGCCTGGGTCTCTGCAAGAGCCAGAAGCAAGGACCCAGAGGTCTGGGTCCTCCAGGGGGCAGGGGCCAAATGTCCACACCCCCAAGTCCAGGGAGGGCACTAGGGATTGGGTTTGGGGAAGATAACTGGGGGAAGGCCAGAGCCCCTAGCAGCAGAACCAGGTCTTGTGGGGAGGGGGTCAGATTCTGGGAAGGGCAGGGTGGGCAGGGAAGGGCAATACAGATTTCTTTGGGGGTCCCAGACCCCATGCCAGCCATTGTAGGAGTTCCACAGAGCTCTGGGCACCTCTTTGCAAAGCCATGTTTGCACGGTGGGGGAGAGGGTGGGGGGAGGGTGTGGAAACTGGGATTCTGTGTCTTCGTGTCATAACTTTGATGGGGGTGGTGAGGGAGACAGCCTGAACCCTTTTCTCTAGTTCCCCTTACCTAGGTTTCAGATTCCCTTTTTCTTCACCTCCTTCCCCTATATTTCTTCCCATCCATATTTGTCTCTCTGTCCACCCAGTCCTTAGGGGGCCTTCCCCATCTCTCCTCCAGGCCCCCAAGGGATGGGGAAGGGAGAAAGGGGGAGGGGGTGCATTGGTCTCTATGGTTTTATATATAATATATTAAAAAATCAAAAATCTGTATGAAAATATCAGATTGTGCCCCCCCTCACCCCATTCCTGGCTTTTGCCCCCTTTTTCTTGTTTTAAAAAAACACATTTTGTACGGGGCGGGGTGGGAAACAGGGAGGGGGTTTGGCAATCCCACTAACCACCATTAAACTGAGGAGAGAACAAGTGTTTGGGATGGCTGTGTGTGTGTCACTCTGCTCAGAGCTCTAGCATGTTGGGAGGGGAACTGAACTAAGGGAGGGGGAGAGAGTGGAGTGAGATGGTTGCTGGTGGACAGTGGAGGTCAGGAGAGGGCCCTTATCTCTCCAAGGGCATCTCCATTCACCGACAAATACTCTCATCTCTTAAGCAGTCACTGAACTATTGCTTTCCCAGGCAGTGACCTGGGCCTTCCCTTCCCTTACTGAAACCCTGGGATGTCAATTTCCAGGGAAAAGTTCAACTCTTCATATTTCACACAACCCCCATTCATTCATCTAAATTTTACATGAGTGATTCTAATTTTCAACTCTAAAACATATTGACCTGTTTTTTTGTGCCAGGTGTTGCTCAAAGGTCTGCAGATGCCCTGGTAAATAAAACAGGTAAAAGTTTGGTATTCCAGACAGCTAAACATTCTTTTGAACATTAAAATATTATTCTACACACTGAGGACTCAAAATGAGAGGGTGTGACTGGATCCGTTCTTACCCTCAGGAAGCTTTCAATGAGGAAAATATACTATAACCAAAGGAGCTTTTTTTAAAAGATGCCAACATTAAGATAAAGTGCAGAGTAAAGGGATGTGGGATACTATTTTAACTTATTATGGAAAACTTTAAACTTAACATTAATAGAACAGGGCCATTAAATTCCATGCATCCTTCTCACCAGCTTTGACAGCCATCACCTCAAAGCCATTCCTGATTTATCTGCATCCTACTCACTTTCCTAAAGTAAATCTGGCGGTTCTATTTAATAAAGGTTAAGTGTCTCAGATGTACATCTGTGCCCAGATGTGCACATGAGCAACTCTTCAAAGATGAGAAGAAAGAGCATTTTTTAGGTAAGGGGAATAGCATGGCAAGTAGCATGTAGAGATTGGGGAGTTTGAGGGCAGATGGCCCTTGACGAGGGGATAAACAAACTGGAGAGAGGTGGGTGAGGTCCTAGTCAGCAGGGTCAGACCAGTGTACAGCCCCAGAAGCCACAATAAAGAGTTGGAGTTGACAGTCACTTTCCAGAAGTCCAAGAATGTTTCTACCACTTCCCATTCTCTCAGCATGAAGTCTGGGCTCTTAAGGTCACCTATAAAAGCCTCTTCAATTATTCCAGGCTTAACAAACTGCTTTCACTTCCTCAATCAAATCTAATCTTTTGTTGTTATTATTACCCCTAGGCTTTTGCCTTTGCTGTTCCCTCTGCCAAAAAACCTCCTTAGTTGACTTCTATCCATCCTTGGCCTAAAGATAACCATCTTTTGGAAGACTTTCCAGGGAGGCAGGCGCTCCCACTCGCCCCCAGAACTTCTTATGTTCTATTCATCCCAGGTCTAACTACTCTGGGTTATGGTTCTGTTTAAGTTTGGCTCTCTTTGGAGTGGGGACAGGGGCTGGTATGTCTTGTTTTCTGCGAAAACCGTAACTTCCGTTCGCACAGAGCCTGACACATTGGCAATAAGTATTTATCCTCGTCCGGAGGAGGGCGGGGTAAGGGTCCTGGTCTTGGTGCCTCTTCTCTGATGTAAGACTAAAAACAAGGCCATATTCGCGCCAGTCCGCAGTCCGAATGCGCAAGCGCTCTCCTCAGGAGCGCGAGCCCCCCGCCCCGCATATGCTAATCACTGCGCTCAGATGTAAGGTCTCTCCGGGGAATATGCAAATCATCCTTTTCAGCGCCCGAGGCCTCCCATTGTCCCGCACCAAGATTATGCAAATAAGCAGGCAACTGGTCCAGGATCCGGGCCGAGCTGGCATCCCCCCTCCACCCCTAAGGCATCCCGTTTTCTATAAAGGCGCGTTCGTGCTCCGCTCACGCACGCGCAAGCCCTCAGTTTCTAGTTCCGTCAGGCTGTGGGCTGTACCAAGTAAACCCGGACGGCAAGGGGCAAAGCCCGGAGCCCCTAGCGCGGGCTTCGTCTAAGGCCTGACTCGGAGAGCCCCTCTTCTCACTGCGACAGGAATGGTCCATAACGCCGCGCAAGCGCCCTAGGCTCTTTACGCCCCTCGCACTCCCTCCTACCCCTTTTGCAGCGCAGGCGCAGAGCCCAGGCGTGCAGCCGCCGCCGCCGAGCCGGAGCGGGGGCTACCAGCACCGGTGAGTGTCCGGGGCCAGAGTGCGCGGGGCATGCCGGGAAACGGGCGCTACTACACCATTGCATGATGGGAGTGATGGCTCCCGCAAAGCCGGCAGGGTGTCGGGCCGTGGTGGCCTGAAGGCGAGACCCAGGATCCCCTTTCTCCCCCCACGCGGCTCCATGCTGCCCTGGAGCATCCTGGGAAACGGGATGCCCCGTCCTAAAGCATTGTGGGAAACGACTAGTCGTTATAGGCCTAGTGCATTCTGGGAAGGATTGTCCTGGGTTCTTGCGGGCAGCTGATCCATTGGTAACACGTTGCACCGAGCATCCTTAAAGTTTGGAGTGCTTCGACACAGCACCTTGGAAGGTGGTCATTGTAGGTTTGAGGCTTCGTTGGGAAGAATGCCCCCAGGGCTTGGTCCTTATTGACCCCTCTAAGGTTTTGAGCTGACCTCCTGGCCCCCAGCTTTGTGGGTATGGGTACCTATTGTGTCCGAACAGGACATCTTGGGTTTTGGTTGCTGTCGACTCTGGACATGGTAGTGTCTTCGATACTATGTTTGTCTTAGGGTAGTGAGGGAGCTTCACTTATGTTCCTCTGAGATCATGGGTGCCAGTTTGGCCCCCACTGCCATTGTAGGAATGCTACTTGTGCACTAAGGAATTCTACATCTAACATGTGGGATACACTGTGTGTGCCTGTGTAATGCACGGGGAGAAGGCTGAACTGGTGAGCAATGTCTTCTGGTAACCTCATAGGAAGTCCTGTTGTGTGCCATTTAAAATACAGAACGACCAGCAAAAGTAGAATTTCAGATAAACAAAATTTTTGGAAATATACATTCTAGGTGTTGCATGGGACATTCCTTAAGTGGGCATGCTTTTATTTACTAAATCTGTCTACTGTATCCTGGCATAAAGTAGAATTCCAAAATTAAATATGGGCAATAAAGTATTATAAGTACTCTCACCTGCCAATTATGAGAGCTCTCTTCCTTAAAGTTCAGATCCAGGTGTCTTCAGAAAGCTTCCCATGCCAATGATGCCCAACCTAATGCCCTAGCCTGGTCCAAGCATCCATCCTAGTCTTTATCTTCCTAGTTTCCAGCATCCCAATACTAAACTTGACATCTGGGCTTTGAAGGGACCGTGTATTCTCCACCACTGTCTATTCCAGTGCTCAGCACAGGTTTTGGCATGTAAGAGGTGCAGCTAAAGCTGCCAGCCCCTTCACTAACAGCCCCGACTCTGCTGTCAGGGAGTGAAGTGGGAAAATGCAAGATGTCTTGTTGAGGAAGATGAAGAGGGGAAGAAGTCACAGAAAACTTCTTGGGAGAGGTAGAAGCTGGTGGTGTTTGAGCTAGGAAGTATGGAGGCACTTGTGTTGGAGGTGGGCTTTGGAGGGTGAGTAGAATTTCTCCAGTCAGATGAGGGGGGAAAAAGACATTTTAGACAAAAACAAAAGTTTGTGCCAAGTCCCACAGATGTGGAAATATCTGGCATGCTCAGGGGGTGGTGAGAAGCCTGGAATGGCTGGAGTTTATACAGAGTTGGGGTGAAAGTAATTATTGCTAGTTAGTAGAATACCTGCCACATACCAGTAATTTATATAAACAAGACAACCTTTTCAGCCGAGAGATTGTTCTATGAGAAGTAGGATGGCATAGCATTAAATCCTAGTTCACATACCTACAAAATCGGGTTACTTGTTAGTCCTCTGCATCGTAGTTTACTTTGTGCAAAGGAGATAATCTGTCTCAACATGGTTTTGAGGTGTACTAGAGTTATGCCCTGGATTTCCCTGCTCTGTACAGAGAAAGAAACACACTAGAGAAGTTAGGTCACTTGTTTGAAGCTACACAGCTAGAATGTGGCAGGTTTAGTATTCTACCCTAGATAGCACCTTGCCAAGGTGTAACCTGATACAGAACTAGGGCTGGTATTTGGTTATTTAAATATTGGAATACTTCCAGACTGGCTGGTATATCATGGTTACCCTAAGTAATCCCTACCCCTAGCTGCTACTTTGTTTCTCAATAGATTTTCTCACAGTTCAGCAACTGAAGGGTTCATTGCTGGCAGAGGACAGTGTTCTGCTGAGTTCTGACTGGTGCCCATGCTATTCCTGCTGTTAAATATTTAGAGTGTTACCCCTCCACACCCCATTAAACCATAGATAGCTTTCTTGCCCAGATGGGGGAAATGAAGGCCTATAGTAGGGCAGAGCCAGCCACTTTGGCCCTTTAGGCAGTCTGAGACAGAGCTGACAGAGCTAACAGGAGTTATTTATCTCTGCTCGAGCACTAAGCACAGAGCTGGGCCTGGGGAGGCAGATGCTATGTAAAAATTTATTGAGTCACCAAAGGCCTTTCCTTTCTCCTGTCCAGCATCCCTTTCTACCTGCTGACATTTTGCGTTAGAAACTTGTGACCGTGGTGGACAGCTGGCAGGGGAGGGACACTGCCCAGCTGTTGCTCTGCTCCTGTCTCCTGTCCCCTCCCCCGGCCATGACAGAGACCCGTGAGCCAGCTGAGACTGGGGGCTACGCCAGCTTGGAAGAAGATGATGAGGATCTTTCTCCAGGTGAGACAGACTTAGAGATAGTGGCATTGGCTTGATTACCATCTGGGCTTGGAGTGGGGGCTCTGCGGAGAGATTTTTGGGGGGAGTAGCTCCTTGTCTTGCTAGAGATGATGCTCTGACTGGGACTCTGTGCTCTGCTGGGTGACCTCTTCCAGCTGAGACTTCTGGGGACTGTAGTTTGACTGGAATAGCTCTCCTTGCTGGAGGATCTATATTGGCCGTAATCTTTCTCTTTTCTGAGGGTTCTAGATCGGCTAGGCTCTTTTTCCTTTCTGGGGATTCTAAGTAGGTTGTTCTCTCTCTTGCTGAAAGTTTTAGATTGATTGTGATATGTCCTCTTTGTGGGAATTCTAGATTGACTGTGAGCTCTTTCATTGCTGGAGGTTCCAGATCGGCTGCTATTGCTCTCTTTGCTCCTACTTCTAGATGGTCTGAGATGCCTCTCCTCGCTCGGACTTCTAGATTGTCTGAGGCTCCTCCCCTTGGTGGGGCTTCTAGATCGCCTCTGAGTCTTCTCCTTGTTGGGACTTCTAGATTGTCTGAGCTCCCACTCATTGCTGGGGCTTCTGGATTGCCTGTGAATCCTTTCATTGCTGGAACTTCTAGATTGTCTGAGACTCCTCCTCTTGCTGGGGCTCCTAGACCTTCTATGAGCCCTCTCCTCGCTTTGGCTTCGAGATCTGTGAGTCCTCTCCTTGCTGGGGCTTTGGAATCTCCTGTGAGCTCCCTCCTTGCTGGGGCTTCGGAATTGTTTGTGAGCCCCCTCCTTGCTGGGCCTTTGAAACCGCCTGTGAGCCCCCTCCTCGCTGGGGCTTGGGGATTTCCTGTGAGCCCCCTCCTCACTGGGGCTTCGGGATCGCCTGTGAGCCCCCTCCTCGCTGGGCCTTCGAAATCGCCTGTGAGCCCCCTCCTCGCTGGGGCTTGGGGATCTCCTTTGAGCCCCCTCCTCACTGGGGCTTCGATATCGCCTGTGAGCCCCCTCCTCGCTGGGCCTTCGAAATCGCCAGTGAGCCCCCTCCTCGCTGGGGCTTGGGGATCTCCTGTGAGCCCCCTCCTCGCTGGGGCTTCGGGATTGCCTGTGAGCCCCCTCCTCGCTGGGCCTTCGAAATTGCCTGTGAACCCCCTCCTCGCTGGGGCTTGGGGATCTCCTGTGAGCCCCCTCCTCACTGGGGCTTCGGTATCGCCTGTGAGCCCCCTCCTTACTGGGGCTTCGGGATCGCCTGTGAGCCTCCTCCTTGCTGGGGCTTTGGGGTCGCCTGTGAGCCCCCTCTTTACTAGGGCTTTGAAATGGCCTATGAGCTCTCTCTTTACTGGGGCTTCTAGACTCACTGTGACTTCTTTCTCTTCTGGGGATTCTGGGTTGGTCATAACTTTCCTCCTTGCTGCTGGTTCTAGACTGGCTGCGTCTTTTCATCTGGCTGGGCGTTCCCTTACGGGTACGGCTTCTTGCCCTACTGTAATTTCTCATCCAATTGATCACCCCCATGTCTCTCTTCCAACTGTGACTTCTTGTTCTTTGGGGCATTCTAGACCTGCTGTGGCTTCTAGACCTGCTGTGGGTGCTAGAATGACTGTGACTTCGGGTCCTGCTTGGTGTGCTAGAGTGGCTGTGACTTCGGGTCCTACTGGGCACCCTCCCCTGGTTATTATCCTTGACCTTGATGGACTCATCAGTTGGACTATGACTCTGTTCCCTGTTGAGGGTGCTCATCTTGCTGTAACTCTTCAGCCCTGGTGATGGCAGAGACTGACTGTGACTTTGCTCCTTGAAGGGAATGCTGGTGGGGCTGTAACTCTTTGCTCTACTAGAGGGTGCAGCCAGCCTGGAGCTCTTTTTCATGCCTGAGGCTCCTGGTGGGCTGTAACTCTTCTCCCTGCTCACATTTTTAGACTGGCTCTTACTCCTTTCTTGGTTGTTGGTTCTAGGCTGACTGTAACTCTTACCCCCACGCTGTTTGGTTTGGGAAGTAGGAGTTCTTGCTTTGCTAGGCACACCTGGCTTGGCATCAGGAGTTCTCAGTTTGCTGGGCGTGCTGGCTCTGCTGGGTGACCTCTTGGAGCCGCGGCTCCCCCTCCTGCCAGGAGTTCTGCCCCGACTGCGTGTGCCTCTGCGCTGCTGGTGTCTTACCCCACTGACCTTACTGACTTTGCTGGCTCTGGTGTCAGTGCTGGCCCTGCTGGGTGTTCTTGCCCGGCTGCGCACTTGGGACTTGCTGCTGGACCGATTGGAAGGGGTTGTCTTTGTCCTTGCCCATTTAGTAGACTTGGTACTGCCTGGGCTTGTGACGGAGTTAGGAGCTGTTGATGGCTTGCTGGGCACCGAGGGGCTCTTGGGTGTGGCCAATTTAGTAGTCTTCAAGGAGGCATGAGATTTGGGAGACGCTGCGGGCAGGGAGGCTCCAGTGGACTCCGGAGATGTGCTGGGCTTTGAGGATCTCATGGGTGGAGAAGGCATGGTGGGCGCGAAAGGCCTTGTGGCCCCAGGAGTCACAGTGGACGTGAAAGCTCTTGAAGTCATCATGGAGGATGCTGGCCTTTCACAGGCCAACTGTGTGAAGTCATAGTGGGCACTGAATACCCTGGAGGGGGTGGTATGAAGTCAGGTGGGAGCAGAAAGAGGGGTGGGGCTAGAGATATTTCCTCTGTGTTTTGCAGCCATTTAGCAAATGTTTGCTGAGGTTGACTAATGCTCAGAATTGCTGGGAACATGGAGCTGGGTCAGGCCCAGTTCCTGCCTTCCAGGAGCCCACTGCCCAGAGTCACTGCCCAGGTGTTTGGGGTTTGTTAGAGACGACAGGGGAGCCTAGATGAGAGAGACACTGAGCACCTGGGGAGTCGGGGACCACCTCATGGTGGAGATGATGTGTGCACCAGCCTGAAAGAGGAGCAGGACTTGCTAATAGAGATGGCAGAGGCCACCCCAGGGGGGACAAGGGCAGAGGCAAA